AAGTAAACCACCAGTGAAATAAATCAATTAAACCAAATCCTGCTCCTGATGAAACAAAAATTCAATTAAAATTAAAACCAAGGAAAGAACAATGCAAGAAATTCAAAATGAGCAAACTGGGGGAGGGAGCCGATGCTGCCCTCCCTATCCAAAGCAAGCAGCTGAGCAGTCCTTGACCAACCAACAGGCGGGGAGAGAAACTAGCAGCCACACTCTTTCTTTTACTGATGCCGGCAAGAAAGAGGGAGAAGAGCGGGGAACAGTCCTTAAATAACCTAATGTCCCCCCCTCTTCTAAAGCTGCTCATGTGAGACTTGATAAAAATTTCATATCCTCCAATCTGGCTCGCTGTCTTTGGCAATAAAAGTGGTGTCCGAGGTGGCAGCAGGACCAGGTAGGGAGGCAATGGGGGTAATGGGAAAGGGGTGAGTAGGCATCCATTTTGTTGAAGAGAAACAAAGTGCCAAGGGGGGGAATCGGCACTTCATTTTGCCTTGACAAACTGGGTCTTCAACTGAACCATGAACCAGCCTGATTCATCAGTTTTCCTGGTTCATGGTTCAGTTCCTTCCCATCTCTATTAGCTAGCCTAGTTTTATGTCTTTACAACTTCTTTATGTGTAGAAATAGAGCAGGTAATATGTTTCCTGTAACTTAATCTATGTGTAGGAGAAGCACAAATTTATTTTATTTTATTTGTATGTTAACTTTCTCCCAGCGAAGGGAAAAATAATTTTAATCCCTGTGAATTTCCCCAATATTAAGAAACAATTTTAATATACCTTAGTGAGTTCCGAATGTGGATGTCTTTAGTGAAGCATCTGGAACTAGAGAACACACTTTGAACAGATGCTCACTCAACAGTTTTTGAAGTCTCTGGGGAAATCTGGAAATCTCAGAGAAACTTGTATCTGATATCACTCAGATGTATGATGAGGTCTGACATAAAATCTTCTGAAGCTAAGGATTTTCTTTGAATTAGTTCCTATTTAGATAAGATAATGCAACAATTTCTTAAAAAGAAACCAAACAGCTAATTACCACCCATACTGCAATGGAAAACAAACAACCAGTATATTTTCTGTATTCCTTTAGGACTTGATAAAAAAAGGGTTGGGGATGTTTTAAAAACTGAAGTTAAGAATGAGAGTACCGGACTAGCATCCCCCTTTCCATTGCTGTGTGGGGCAAAAGGGAAAAGTAAGCTTGAAAAAGAAAATATTCCATATTTTCCCCTTTTGTTTTCCCTACTAACTAGAGGCAAGATAATTAATACTGTAATAAAAAAGGAACTGAGTTCAGTTTCATTGAATGGTGTAGAAATGGATATGTGATTCAGATATTTTTTCCTTTATAGATCCTGTAGCTCCTGAGTTGAGAAGGGCCGTGCATTTAATTTATACTTTTGAAGCCACCTGAGCAGAGAAACATCTAGAGCCCCTGTGGATTCAGAAAAAGCCATGGATTGCTACCCTGGAAGGAGATTGTCAAAAATGCTTTATGTGCAAAGGTAGCATCTACATTGCAAAACTGCATCCTTCTTTTGCCCGGAGAGATGGAATTCCAGCAGCCTGAGAAAAAGCTATGCCTTTAGATAACTCCTTATTTTCCACTGTCAGATAGACAGGGTGAAAAATAAGCACACCGTTTCATCTGGCAATGATCCTGGAAGGCCTGGCGAATGTTTCAGGTGCAGAAGAGGCATTTGAATCTGGATTCGATGGATTCAAAGGCACTCACTTGGGACTGTTCTTGTTTGTTTGTTTGTTTGTTTCACTGGCAAAGGCTGTTTGCTCCCCCCCCCCCGTTCCATTCTTTGTAATGCTCCCCTACACTTGTGCTATGGCAGATAATTACTGCATTCCCTGGTTACAATTGTTTTGCTGCTTCTTAGTTTTCCTTGCATCTATCCCTCTGATCATTTAGCCTGATAACTTACTGCACTGCCAATGTGTTAAACTACAGCAATGCATAATCAAGAGAAAATAAATATTTATTTCCACTGTGGTCTGTTGGGAAATACATGTATGAGGGAACCATTTCTGAGATAGTGCAAGGATGGCAATATGTTGTATCAAATTAGCACCTGGGCCCTTGCAAGAAAAAAGAATATTTAAAACCTGTTGGAATTGGAGCAAAGGTTTATACTTTTGTTCTATGTGTGCTTATATGGACTAAGGGAAGGGCAAGGAAAGAGAGTAGTATCAATGACAGAGGAGGGAGGGATGACTTATAGTTTCATTGTGAACTGCATGTGGGGTGGGGTGTGGACTCTTGATGTGATTCGATCTAGGGTATTGAAACATTTCAATTTGGATGGTAATGGTGACTTAAGGGCCAAGGAAGGCTGTGACTCAATCTGGTTCCAAAACGGATCAAACAAATTCAGCTCCCAAGTATAGTCATGCCCTAAGGCATGTGTCTCTGTGGCCACATTGGCCACCTTCACAAAAGCGTGCAGTTGGTATATGAAATTTAATGGTGCAAATGCATTCTCAGATAGCACAGAAAGAAGTGATGTGTCTAATACTGGGGCCGAATCCAGAAGCAGATCCAAGCTGCAACACAGAGTTTTCAAAGAAGGAATCTCCCACAGGTTGAATCCGAAACCCCTGGTCTGCTTTTCACCTGCAGAAGAGCATGTCTGTCTCAGCTTAATTCTGATCTTGTTCTGCAATTTTCCCTGAAAAATTTCGAGCAGAAGCTAAACTCAACATAACATTATATCTATGCCTATTTTTAGCATGCTGAATGTTATTTTAAATGCAAATAGCATCAGTGGGGAGATACGGCTGCTGAAAATTAATGGAAACAGAAAAGGCACTTCCTCCTTTATTGTGATTCTGAGGAAAATCCCTCTTCTGAAGCTGCTATTTGCTTGTAGTGGATTTCCTCCCAACACAAGTATTGGGGAATTTCCTCCCAATGAAAATATTGTCTTCAGAAAAGGGATTTCTCAGCTCATCTCAGCAGGGGAGAAAAAGTTAAAACCCTTTTCCTTGCCTCTCTGATCCTGCGAATTACCATCCTTCTTCCCAGCTGATGCACTTTGCATTAAACAAATAAACAAAAAACTTTGCTTCTTAGAGATGCCTGTAATGACAGGTCTTCCCTTAGTCCTAAATTAGCACTTTGAGACATTTTGTGCTTTTTTGCTGAGGGATAATTCTGTGAATATATTTATTTGTATCAGACTATACCGGAAAGGTAACAAATAAAGTACCTATTTTTGCAATGCCCTCGTATCTTCAGAAAATGTTTTCTCCTCCTTCCTCTTTCACATAATATTTCTCTGAAAGGATATCACAAGATGTCAGTTTTCTTGTTTATGTGGTTTTTTTCAAAGTTGTTGTTGTTGTTTAGTCGTTTAGTTGTGTCCCACTCTTCATGACCCCATGGATCAGAGCACCCCAGCCCCTCCTGTCTTCCACTGCCTCCCGGAGTTGGGTGAAATTCATGCTGGTTTTTCAAAGTGGACCCATGCAAAAATTTACTCTCCCCCCATTTCCAGAATCTGCCCTTTGTAGGGATATAGATCTTCAGTTGTCTCAGCACAATATCACAGTGTTATTGGCCCCTGCTGCACAAAGAAGTATTGCATTTTTGTGGTGCACCAACATGAGGAAGAATGATCTTTTGCACAGATCTAACCAAATGGTACAAACACAGTAGCACAAATAGTGCAAAAAATGCAAAACAATGGCTGCTACTTTGTTCCCTGGACTTTTAGGGTCTGGAACCATTGTGGTGATCTTTCTACATAACCACCTGTGACAAACCCAGACCTACTGGGATATGTCACACAGTTACACTAAGCTGCCACCAACCATTCCCTTTAAGAAGTCACACAGACCAGGGATGGATTTTTAAACAATAAAAGAATTAGGTTTATTTAAGTACACACAGGGAAAAATAAAACAATCAGGTGAATAGGATAAAGTAACGTGGCTTATTCTCACTCATACAAGCATACAGTTTGGTTCACCCAGAACCCTTAACTTGAAGCACAGACCCTGAACCTATCAGTTCTGGCTAACCAACAGACACCTGAACCTATCAGGTTGGTACTCTGACACACAGTAGTACCCTGTCTGACACACAGACTACCACAACAGCTTCTTCTTCCCAGCTGCTGCTTCGTCACTTCCCAGTGTCTCCCAGCATCTCACAGCATCTCATCACACACCACACAGGTTTCTCATTTATATACAGTACAGCCCCTCCTCCTGATGTCCCGCCTTCCACTCCCCATAGGATGGAACTTTCCCTCCAAACCCATGACAGACAGGTAACATCAGTGCTGTATGTAACACCACCCAGTCATCTTCTGCACTTCACTGCGCGGATGCTGGTGTGGTTGTGCTTTTCTTCTCAACGAGAAAGGACGCTAGTTTTTAGGACTATTATGTTCCTTTGTTTGATCAGTCTGTATGAAGACAACACCCATCACAAAGGTGCTCTTTGGCAAAATTTCAGGAGAATCATCACAATGTTTGGGCTTTGTGATTAAAGAGTAAAAGATACAGGCACACAGATTATGGGCAACCTCCCTTTTTCCCTTTTAGAGACTCACACACATTTCATTTTTGTCTGGGTCCATGACAGTGTCTGTGCAATTCTGCTTCTTTGGGAAGATCCCATTCCTGTGAATGGAAAAACACAAATTGCAAGGCAAGTTCATAGACTGAATGGTGCAGGTGGCAGTCTGCAAAGTTGAGTGCTCTGCTCTATTTTTACTTTTACCTTTTTTTCCCCTCAGCCATCACAAGAGGCCTTCCAGTTACTTCCTAAGGCAGCCTTCAGGAAGTAGGAAAGGAGAGAGTTTAAAAGGGCAGTGGGTGTGCACCTCATCCAGTTAGATTCTAAGACAGAGTTCTCTACAACCGGCAAGGCTCCAAGGCTTCAGGAACATCCCAGTTTGGTTTGGAAAATCTCAAAAAACATCTGCCTTGCTGTGGAAGGATCCCAAATTCCTGCAAAGCAGGCCAGTTCTGTTCAGAATTCATGCAGACCATCTCTCATTTTCTGACAGACAGCATTGTCTTGAGAATCTATAGCCTGGAATGAAGGTCAGTCTACTGAAATATCAAATACGAAACATTCAGAATACTACTTGCTGCAAACAGTTGCTCCTAAAAGTCATTGGGAAGTGTTCCTACTTTGGACATTTAGAGCAGCTTGCCCAAGGCTACACAGGCTGGGTCTTCTCCTGTGAGGCACAGTAGGGAACTGAACTCCCAACCTCTGGCTTTGCAGCCAGATACCTAAACCACTGGGCTATCCAGCCAGCTAGAGGATCCACTTAGCTAACAGCAATTGATAGAGCTGCTTGCTGTGTATGTAACAAGCGATTCTCTGCTGGTATATCCTAAATTAAAAATTAAAAAAAAGAGGAGAGAATGCTGGTTTTAAGTTTTTTTAAAAATAAAAACTTGGAAAAAAAAATACCTTTTTACATTCCAGCTCCCAGAGTCCTTCAGCCAACATGACCACTGACCATGTTAGGTAGAGGACTCTGGGAAGTATCTTTTCAGGCATGCTTTTAATATTTATGGTTGTGTCCCCGAATGTCATTTTTAAATGAAGATAACTTTTAATGTTTAGCTGGGTTCAATGATTCAATTGCATTTTAATCAGAGTACAGTTCAATTGTTTTTTTTTTAATGTTCAACTTTCTATGTTTTTAATTCTATTCTTTTAATATTGCAAGCTGCCTTGGGTCCCCTTATCAGGAGGCAGCCAGCCGATAAATAAAATAAATAACAAACAATAAGAAGAATATAATTCAAAAGTGTAGCTTTTCCAGGTTTACACATTTTTTGGTTTGTTTAACACTCTCCCTCCCCCCCCCCGCCTTTCATTCCAGAGCTGTTTAAACATTCTGAAAGACACTCTGCCTATAGAAGAACAGTCTAAGAGCCACAACACAGAAGGAAAAAGGACTGGGAGGAAGGAAAGAGAGAGCAAGCTCAGATACTATGTTTTTTCATTGCAAAGTTCAGCCAGTTGCAGAGTTCAGTGGAAAGGCTGCTCTCCTTCTGCTTCTGAGGGTCATCATAACATTGACCACTGGTAGAATGAGAGAAGGGGATTCTCAGCTGCAGCCCCACCCAGGCATGCCTGAGTGGCAGCATAAAGAATCCTTCCCTTTCCAGATTGGAAAATGGGTTATACGTTGCTAAATTCAAAATAAAATAAAATGGGACAAAATAACATAACATAAAAATCTACATAAACTGTGGATTAACATATGCAAAGAGGAATTCTTACAACAAAGCACCAAAGGGGTTCCTGCTTCTTTAATGCTCCCACTATTAATTAGTGCCTAAAAGGATTCTTAATCTAATCTCTAAGGAGGAATTTTTTTTTTCAACCAAGAGGATTAATTTTGATTCCAAATTCCCTGTGAAAGTACAGATAAGTTGCCTAAATTTAGGGAATCTAGGTTTATCTTCTTCCTGTACTGAAGGTGAGTTCTTACTGGAGATTCTCATGGTGCATCAAGGGAGGGTGGCAGGAAATATTCATTAATGTCAGTGTTCTTTTTCAACTGTGGTACAATCAGTGCAGTTAGAAAATGTCTGCCTTGCTGGTGCTTCATCTCAGTGACATTTTCCTTCTTCCTTCCTAACTCTGTTTCTACTTCTTCTCTATCCTTTGCTTCATTTTCTGTCTCATTCAGTTTCTCAACGTGGAATCGTGTCACTTGGCCAAATGTTGCCATTGGGCTTGTATTGATCTCCATGAAGAAAGCCCTCTGTCCAATTGCAAGAGGGGAATGCATGCACAAGTGGCATGGTAGGGCTCTTCTCTCAGGAGAAATGCAACAGAATATTGGCCAAAGGAAGTTCATGGCATCATCTGTGTTTCACGTAGCATTGGTACACCTCATAAAGAATTACACGGGGCACATAGCAGCAAATAAGATGGTAAAAAAACAGTAGTGTAGCATGTGTAGCTAAGGTCAAGAAAAGAGGAGGAGGAAGTGTACAGCAGGAATATGTCTGTTACAAATTACTAAAATCACTGGACCAGGAGCCACTTTTCAATATGATATGAAATTAATTTCATCTGATCCCTTGTGCTTAGAAGAATCATGTAATCATTCCATCCATCTTCCTTTCATTAAAAGTTAGTTCTTCAAAAACTGAATTTTCAGATTAAAAAATTAGGAAAGTCTTGCTGAAGGGATCATATTTTAAAGACTGACACAATGTTTGGTCTGCTAGTGAGCTCTTCAGCAGTGCAGGCCACCATTATCCCATTCCTGGGATAATACGAGACAAGCTAGTCTCGCAAGAGCAGCTTGAGAGCATAATTAAAGAGCTTCTCTTACTTTCGGCCTCTTTCTTCGTGGCATCGAGAGAGGAAGGACAGAGTGTTGTGATTGGGCAATTCTTGCTGCACCATGCTATTGCAGTCACCATTTTATTGCAGTTGCCATTTTGGATGGGGGGTTTGCATTGGCGCCCCCCCCATGGTTTGCATTCAGCTTCAGCTCGTACTTAACGGGCCGATTGCCAGACAGGGACTTAATTTAATTGAACTGGATATATATATCGGCTGGGCGGCACTCCCATCTGCTACCCCCAAACCATTTCCTTTGTCTTTTATATATATATATATTAAAAAAGACAAAGGAAATGGTTTGGGGGTAGTAGACATTAAGAGAGAGAGAGAGAGAGAGAGAGAGAGCGAGAGAGAGAGAGAGAGAGAGAACAAACAAACTCCAGTAGGTTAGGGCGTGCATGCTCCTGTCCAAAATATCCATCACAACCCCTCCATCCTCTCCTCTCCCCCAGGTAGTAGATACTGTCTACACAGAGTAGTATTTACTGGGGATCTTAAGAATTAATCATCATCCTTTATTAGAGCTGTTTAAATTCATAGAATTTTATTGGAGGGGGTGTTTATTGTGGTGAATAAATAAATATACAAACAAACAAACAAATCTATTGACCATTAATTTAGTTTGTTAAATAAAGTGCACTGCAGGTATTTGACAGTAATTAATTCATTTGAAAATATAAAGTGGTTAGGATAACGAGATAGAACTAATATACATTGTGCATTTGCTTCAGTTTAGCTGTAGGCTGGATTAGGTTTTAATTAATAAGTCTAACAATTTCATATTAACTTAAGGGAATTGTGGTTTATTATCTAGAGTTACAATATTTAATTAATTGGTGCATAGAATAATAGCAGTACTTAAGACTGTAGAAAGGGATCAAACTCAGTTCTGCTCAGGCTGTAAACTGAAGGAGTGACCAGAAGAGGGCCACACACACACACATGCATACACACACACACACACACACACGTCCATGCATACACACACAGACACACTCAAAATTTTTAAAAAATTAATTACATTTGTTATTTCCAGGTACATTTACTACAATCATAGCTAGTAGTAGCTGATACATAGTCAAGGCTAGATTGAAAGGGACTGCAGGGCCTTGCTGCTTTTGTGAGCAGTTGGCTGGGGTGTGTGAGTTCAAGAACAGAGATGGCTTCTAAAAGGGGGCAGGGGAATAAATGGGGGAAACAGGCAGTGAGGAAGCGTGTGGCTCCCCAACCTTCTCCTCTTCAATCATCTTCAGATGAAGAGGCATGGTCCATATGGCAGTAGCTGCAAGAAATAATGGCGGCACTGGAAGCTGAAAGGGCAACTAGTCAGGCTTCGCCAGTTAGTGCACCAGAAAGGCGACATTCAGCCAGGGAATCTGGGAGCCACAGGAAGGCTAAATTCAAGGATCTTGCTGAGGATTTACTATCTCACTTCTCTGCTTTAGAAGGGAATTGTGAGGCTGTACGTCAATCTAGCTCCTTCATGGATTGCTGCCTTGTCGTGGCGAAGGGGCTTGAGTAACTCAGAGAAGCTATGGGCTATGCCGTGCAGGGAGGAAGAGTAAGGCTGGGCCCCATCGCAAAAGGGACGGCCAGCAACTCAGAGGCAGAGCTGGCAGGATGAAGGGGATGCAGCCATTTGGGTAGAGGATGTTAACCTGACTATGTCAGATGTAGCACGTGAGTTAGAGATGGCACTCAACACAGTCTCTCCTTTCACAGCATGGCCGTGGCCAGGCAATGGTCAGTTTAGTACACCATCACACACACCACATGGCACATTAGGAACTGGGGTCATGGGTACAGAGTGGCCTAGTACCAGTACTCCAGTATGTAATTGGGCATCTCTGTACACGTCAGCTCCCTTGCCAATGTATTTAGGTTTAACACCAGGTGTAGGTGCCTGGCCATACCTATCTGTTCCTGATACGGGATATAATACCATTCTCTTTGACTGCAGCTCCCACAATTCTCCTAACCAGCCTAGCCATTGGTCAGAATCCTCTGATGTCAGAATGAGGTCACAATCTGGTCTGTATCTCTGCAAACTGAGAGGCAGTTAACAGTCAGGCTGAGCCTAGAGGAGTGGGCAGGAGCTTAAAAATAACTTTAGTCTAAAAAGCTTCAAGGCCCCTGTAGTGTTCTCCATTTATTAGATCTATGGTTCTTGTTGTATTATGTAATGGTTTATGAATATTCATGTTGCTGAGAGGCAGAGTCAAGAGAGATGCTATAAGAGGCAGGGTCAGAGAGTCAGAGAACAGATTAAGTGAGTTTAAGTTAGTTAGCGAAA